ATATTATTATTTAGAGAAACGAGGTATATTATTAAACCTACATTTAGTTGTTATTGTTTTTATTTAACATTGTACTATTTGATGCAATGAATTTTTTCAATTTCAAAAAGCAAAGTGATATCTACATATGGTAAGTTTTAGTTGTTGTGAATTAAATCTTGGTCAGATTTTGTTTCACGGCTTTTTTAATTTTCAGGACACCAAATTAAAAATATTCCTTTAATGAGTCTTGACAAACGTGTTGAAAAGTAAGTTCTTATAAAATAATTTCGTATCTGTTTACTATTACTTTTCTCTAAAAATTTTTTGCACTTTAACAGATACAAGGGCATTTCTATTTGCTTTAATATTTTGACGAAATCTTTTGCTGGTCGTTATGTCAATTTTGGAGTTTTTGCATTATATGGTGACACCGCTTTAGAAGTTGCCTTAAAAACATCCTTTGAAATGATGCTCAGCGTACCACTTGAAGACATACTTGTAACTATTTTTATTTGCAGTTGATACCACTTAAATAGTTATTAAATACATTGAGTCTCATTTAACATTGATCTAGGCATATCCAAAGTTCTCAAAATCATTGTTTGATTGGTTGGATACCTTTACCAATGAATATATGATGGCATTACCAAGCATGGATTCGGACGTTTTTCTGTATATTATGCGTGCTCTCGCGGAGGGTATTCAACAACCTGATATCCTTTAAAGTCTTTTAAATGTGTATTTTTGCTTTTTAAGTTATTCAATATTGTCCTTGATTCTACATAAACATGGAGCTCCATGTTCTTCTGCATGCAATGCTATTGACCATATATGTACGTTTGTGGTTCAACAGTCTGCCATGCAGAAGCCTAAGCAACATTGGCTTCTTGTATATTTAAACGAATATCCTACCGTATTACCTACTTTGTTCATAGCAAATTTCAATGTGGTTCTATTTGAAGACAGACAAAATCAATGGTCATTGTCACGTCCACTGTTATGTTTAATATTGTTAAACCAAGATGTAAGACAGTATACATTTTTTTGTAAAAATTGCTTATCTATTTATTTTCGGAAATCTGACATTTTATTTTTATAAAAGTACTTTAATAAATATACAGAAAATATTTTGCAACACCAATTACCTGAAAGAAGAGAGGCATTGAGAAAGGTTATTATGGTTCAAGTTTATTAAAAAATTTTTATTATTTTTGATAACTTACTGAAATTTTATCACATTAGGCTATCAAAACTCTTATGGAAGATGTAGACTTTAATTTAACTGCTAAAAATAGAGACAGATTTACACAGAATCTTAATACATTTAAGAGAGAGTTGACTAACGGCAATGTTATATTGGTTCCTCCGCCAATGGATGCTAAGACGAATATGTGAATGATAAACGGTTGTTTAAAGGCTTTATTCGTACCTTTGTCATCATATTTTATTGATAGTTCTTCCCTTTTTTTTGCAAAGGTCGGATATCCTTTTTAGAAAAATTTTAATTAAATATTTTTATATCTTTTATTTATCAACTCTAACAATGTTTCATTTGTAACTCAATTTTATGTTATATCCTGAGCTTTTCCTTTTAATTGAGATTTCATTTATAAATTGTACATTTAAACCGCCTTAATCAATTTTATATCTTGATTATTATGTCAATTTTATTTTTTATATAAACTGTTTTTAACCAAGTTTTTTTCATTTGCCATTTAGCTCTAAATTTCAAGGTCCAGCAGGTTGGTTTATGTGTATATTTTTAATTCTTTTTTCCCTTTGTTTTTTTTTTTTTTATGATTCGAAATTTGTCATTTGACCATTTTTATGGAATATTTAAATTTTAATATTACAACAAATAATTAATTCTAATTCAACCTTTG